TCGTTCTCTTCCTCTTTCTCCTGCAGGTTCCCGTATGTCGGTATTGGTCGGTCCACACCAAAAGAACGGCTTCCGACGACGACAGATGTACTGTGTGTATGTCGTTTTGTTCTTTTTTTGGTCGTGTGTGCTTTGTGCTGTGGTTGGATAGTTTGAAGGAATGTGTTTCAAGCCACGTGCAGCGCAGTGCAGTGTAGTCGGTAACCAGCCGGTTGGTGAGTTGTTGTTGTAGCAAGTTGAAGAAGTATCGGGTCGGATACCCTTTACTCGATCGATTCCCGAGGCTTGTCTTCTTCGTTGTGGAAAACCAGTGGTGGCTTTTGAGTATAGGAAGTATTTATGTAAGATGTGCCGAATGACCGATTTTGGGGGTGAAAGAGTAAGATCCAATTCTGTTACATGCAACAAAAGATCCTCCACGATGATGACGAAGAAACTTTGTTGACACTCTTCACTTCGATCCTCGATGTAATTCTGTAGGTATCCGTAATCCCGGGATCGGTGGGAAAAAAAGAGTTGGAGAGATTCTAGACCAGGAAGGCTGGTCAACGGGAGGTAAGAGGCATGGAGTCTGGAGCGGAGGTCAAACTGGAGACTAAAACTGGGACCTTTGTCGATTGGATGAACGAATGACAGACAAGCTTGAAGTTAAATATGAATGAACGAATGGATGAGAACTGGCCCCAAAAGTCAAGTCAAGACAAAAGCCTTTGGTAAAAGAGAAAAAAAGAAAAAAGAAAAAAGCTGGGTAAGAGAGACGGAGACAGAGAGAGAGAGAGAGAATGATCCACCCCGAACTTCACGGATGGAGTGAATGCTGTGTTGAGTGGGCATCATTGGGTAATAAATGTATTACCAAGAAAACCCTACCCACCCTAGACTATAGTACCGAGGTGTATGTAAGAAAGAATACACCTAAGAGCTGAAAAGAAAGAAAAGAAGAAAAAAAAGGACCGTACTCGCTCCCTCGCTTGCTCGCTTCGCGTATGTACACTACACTAGTCACTAGTCACTACGGGGTGCATGACTCTGAGAAAGTGAGAAGAGAATTGGTTGTTGGACCACTGCAGCTGCTGCAGGTTCGAGATGCCGTGCCTTACGTGTGGATCCCATTTGTTGTCGTTGTGGGTTTTCAGGTCCGTCGTTTCGGGATGAGGGATGAATGGAGGTGGGTAATAAACATGGGTTGTTTTGGAGCGAAGCCTCCTTGTTATTCCAGAGAACCGACACTTTTTTTTTTTTTTTTTTTCTTCCTTGCAGGGGTGACATAGAAGCTTAGACTAGGTAGTGCAGTTCGGACAAGTACAGGTTTGTTAGCTCGAGACCTTACGTCAACTTTCCTATGCGTTTTCATTAGCTAACTAATGCGTGGTTATTACCTTGGAAATGCCATATCTGATATTCAATATGTTGTATCAATTCCTGTCAATGCCTTTGTAATTCGTACTCTGCTATTTTGATTTGTCTTTGTGAGGTTTGGGACTATGAAGGATAGATTTCGTCTACCTAGTGGACAGAGTGCAGTAGAGGTACCTACCTAGTGTACCGAGCTAACAGACGAACCAGCAATGGGCTGTACATCATGCCCCTCCACCCCCCCTGGTTCCTGGCTGCCTGTCCGCTTCACTTCTTGTACCTGCCAAGCCGTTCTCAGATTCGTCTGTTGAATTACGTACTGGAGTGCATGAGGGGGGGCAGAGCATTGAAGGTCTTCTTCTTCTTCTTCTTCTTCTTCCCGACTCTCTGGCATTGGTGATCTCCCCTCCGTGCGTATCTTGTAACAGAACCTGGTTAACGGGGATCGGCGATGGACTCGCCTGGCCACACATGGGCTTTGAGCCGCCAAGAGACGGGTATTTACCAAGATGAGCATAGATAGAATTCGCAAACCGCTCGCTCCAAGGTTAGTGTACAAGAGTTAGGCTCGATTTTGCTAGTCCAGGAGTTTACGCCGAGAATGTCGTGAAGGACCGGTCGCACGTCATTTCCGATCCAAGGACTCTACTAGTATTCCGTGAGAGGCGGTATGTATACATAGTGTAGTCCTGGCTGGCTTGTCGTCGCTATGACTGCTGAACTCGACTACAGTACTACATATACGCTCATCAATCGGCGAGTCCTAGTTCAGGTTTCAGAGACCTTTTTTTTCTGCTGTGTAAAGAAATCAAAGGCGGGGCTAGGGTCGGGTCTCGCTCTCCTACATGGGGGATACATATCCGTGTGGCGTACGTCAGTCAGTCCAAGGACAGGCCACGGAGAGACAATAAATGCTGAGTAACGTCAAGAGTAGTAAGATGCAAGAGATGAACCACCAGATCTAAGCTGCCTCGTCACCTTTGATACTCGTGAGAATGGCTGTCCTCGTCTCTAGCGTGTAGGCCACGAGCAAGCAACATTTGTACGCAGATGTCGTTGCAACGAATGGCAAGGGAAAAGGTGGTTTGCGTTGCTCGACAGGTTACATGCACATGCTCGTTCCTATGGATTAAATAAGATATGGGTTCCGGTGCTATGTTTCCAAAGATCGCGGAGGTTGCCATGTTCTGTGCTGGCTTGCGGTGTCGAAGCAGTAAGCCGGAGGGTAGCGGAGAGAAGTGGGGTCTGTGTACCCCATTCGTAACGGGCAGTATTTGGTAATCGTCGTCCATCGGTTCGAGAAGAGCTTCAAGTTGTCTCCATTGTACACAGTGTTACGCGCATTCTCTGTGATGCAAGCGAGACCTGCATAGCCCGTATGTAATTCACTTTTGTTGACACTCTCGTCGTCGTCGTCGTCGTCGTATTACGAAATGGCACTGTACAAGTATCTGCTGCTTGACATCTGATAACGTGGAGTCAGACAGCGACAGCTTTCCCAAGACATTTGATGCTCACAGTGGGCACTCTGAGCACTTGAAGCTTCGAGTTGTAAAAAAAACCGTCACCCAGGCCGTCGGTTCAGTGTTTAGCAGCAAAGATGAAACTGGAGCTAGACTCCAACAAGATAAAGCTTGCGATGCGATCTGTCAGACGCAGGTACCGTGCACGGACCGCGCCCTTGGTCCCTGCACAATGCAATGGAAGGTGGGATTGCGCGAGGTGGGAACTGCTGCTGCTGCCAAGTGCCCGAGAAAATTCCTCGTAGGGCCCGTTCCACTTCGTCCAGAATTTTTCATGTACTGTAGTGTACACAGTACCGTACGGCGTAAAGCTGCTTCAGTTCTGTAAAGTAATTTCCGGTTCTTCGTAATCCAAAAGCCTCGATCTTCAACAACAGAGCCTCCTCTTGTCCATGATTCGAATGCTGCTGCCCAAAGTTCCTTGGATGAAGGGCCGAAAGGAAAAAGAGGCAACAGGTATCTCGGATACACAAGCCACTGCTGTGCCACGACTGAGGAGATGAGATTTTGTGTTGCCCTTCCTTCGACTTGGAGCCTCATCTCGAGACCTCGATCAGGATTCATTCATCTCAACCATGATTGGTCAATGGCTTCATGCTGTGTGCTCTTAAGATGGAAAAAAGGGTGGGGGAGGCCGACGGTTGATTTCCACTTCGGCCATGTGCCAACCTAACGGTCGAACAGCTTAGCTTCACCGGCCGGCAGAGCATTTGCGGTGTTGCAGTTCGCGCATCGTCGTGCCTCCGTTCATTTCATTTTAAACTTGCAGCTCGACAGCAGGCATTTTCCTTGTCAACTACCGACAGCGGTCAAGCGGTCACGCGACAGCACCGGCAACGAGAGACATTGCTTGTGAAGGGGGCGGAAAGTCAGCGCGGAGATACCCTCAGTTATGGTTTGTTACATACCGCTCTTGAAAAGACATTTTGAATGTCAGCCAAGGCTTACTTGACAACACTATGTGGTTCTAGAAGCGATCTGGAAACGACACTCCATTTATATGTGTACACTACGAAAGTCTTGTCCGTTTCATCGACAATGAGCCTGACATCGAGGCTACGTCTCACCCAAACCCCGAAGCCTCAATCCTCAGCGGACTCAAGCCCATCGCCCGAAGCTCGATGATTGTTCGGTTCTTCGAGAAGGCAACTTCCATTCTCTGCATTCGATTTGAAATCTCTTCACCCGTCCCGTCTCCCCCGAACATATTTTTAATCCACTTGTATGAACCAGTTGCGGAATGATGATCGAAGATCCCCAAAAGCCTCAGAAATGCGGAAAAGAAAACAACAGCACTACAAATGTTGTGGTGGAGTTCTCCCAATTTCCCAACAGTGGAGATATCTTCACTTCTTTCAGTTAGACAACCGCAGCTAAAGTTTTCTGACTCTCAGTTCCCGTCCCGTCTGCCGTCCGTCCATGATTTTCGGCAGCTTGCGGTACGACGGCCCTGCCTGCCATTGATATCACACTCTCAGGTATTTCACATCTTCACAAGCAGATCCCTCAAGATCCCCGTTCTTCTCATCGATCGCATTGATGTGCTCGCGTGAGTGCTACGCTAGATCGAGCTTGAACCGCATCATGATGCTTCGCGGGTTTCCCTCGATGCCATAAGCTTGCCAACGAGATCCGACAAAAGGCCGAGAGCAAAGGTGCTGTTGATAGCATCGACAAGCGGGCACCTCTGGATGCCGGTCCGGCAGCATTGCGGCCCGCTGGGTCCCTACACTAGCAAGCCTAGGAAGAAGCGTCCTAAGTACTCATTGTCTTGGACCATTAGTTTTGATCGGCAAGCAGGCCAACACTATCGGCTGGTGCCGCGAGGAACTTTTGCATTTTTCCAAGAAAATCACAGTAGTGTAGTATTGAAAAGAGCATCTCGATCTTATCGTGATCTTTAATTATTCGGCAATCGTGTCAGTTGCGTCATCATTCGACGTACAGATCGAAAACTGGAAAAGTCCGAGTATTATGCGAAGTAATTTCGTCGTTTTCTTGATCGAAAGAAGTCATCGTGATCCTGCACACACACTTTCGCAGTGTACTACTGTGTAGTCTTAGTGGACGACAAGTAAGTAGAATAGGCCCGCGGGTTTCACCGTGCAGCGAGCGAGCGACATGTGTCGTCTGTCCCCGGCGGTGAGATTACGGACTCATCCCATCCATCCACCAGATTACGTACTGGAACTGGGCTCACGCGTCCGTTGCGTTGCCCATGAACATGAAAAAGGCCCGGTGCGCGGACACGCCGGGGCTTACTCCGGCTCGGTTGGATACTGTGTACGTATACTGGGGAGATTAATAAATGCCGAGGGCAAGCTCTACCTATGCATGTAGTGTAGTGTGGGGCGGATGTTTTGGGACTGTGCGAACCGAACCGAAGGTCAGTGCGCGATGGTCCTGGAAATGTCCGAGGTCGATACTAAAGAAGAAGAAACTGAAACGACCGCCAGACGGCCTGTGTCTGTAGCAAATCGACGCTATGAACAGCTGTTCAGTCATGTGTATTGATGCCTAATCGTACTTTATATAGAGCTGTGAATTTCAGGGGGAGAGCCAGAGCACATGGACAATCGGTCATTACTTTAGTTGTTGGTCGGTGTTTTTAGCAACTTCAAAACTGACCATTGCAAGCCAAGGCAACTCACACGAGACTGAGAATAGGCGAGGCAGTGTGCAGTCAAACACAGAAGTCGATGAAGCTGTACAGTGATCTCGAGAGTGTCCTCCCCTCAGACATAAATTAGTAAAGCGAAAAAAAAATATCAACACAAGAGAGAATTAGAAAATGTATAACAGTTGCAAGCCCAAGGGATGGAAAAAGACGAACAAGGCAAAAAAGGCAAAAAAGATTGGTCTCTCCCGCCGGGAATTGAACCCGGGTCTCGAGCGAATCGAACTGATGTTCAAGCTTGACAAGCTCACATACTGACCACTATACTACGGAAGACTTACAACTGTTGATCAGCTGTCGTAGTTGGTTGTGGAGAATGTTGCTGGCTACTGGACTTATATCATGATCTCCAGAGACCGCTTACCAGTCAACACTATGGCAGCTCGTTGATTTCTGCTCAATAAATGACATGCACGCCTTTTCTCGGAATTGTTCGCAAGAGTTATACTCTCATATGAATGGCGCGTATGCTGGCTAAAGCTGCTGGAGAACGCGTGCACTTGGTAATACATCACGAGAACTGAACCTTTGTAGCACCTACAAAATGAAATCTTGAACAAATAAATTCATGTGCGATGCTAAACTAATGAAAATAACTCTGGAGCTCCGTGCCTTCTCCAATAAATGGTACTGATGCGCATTCACCGGCACTCCTTCCAAGTATTCAGGCTGCCCTACTATCCAATTCTCCTCTTCTTGTAAGGACAACCTATAACAATCAATGAAGCCCTTTTCGTTGTCGCCTTTTCCAGCCCACCGATACCGTCTCCCCTACCAATCGTACATTTCCCCTCCTGATGAACCCATCTACGCCATCAAAGCAATATGCTTCAACTCCTCCTGCACCAACTCACCCACTTTCATGGGCGGGTACGTCTTCTCCTCACCTTCATCCCTTCCCAGATTAAACTGCTCCGCCCTCAACCTATGCGCCTCCTCCGCCAACTTGAGAATAGGCGCAAGGTCATGATCCGAGTTCAGATGCCAGAAGAAAGTCGAGCTGATACGGATCAGCGGGCGGTCGGGGAACTGCTGCTTGCGCTTCTCAATGACCTCGACGGTGCGCTCGTTGACGACGACCTCGTGGAAGCCGGCCTTGATCAGACCGCCCGTGATGTGCTCGAGCTGCTTGCCGGCTTGTACCAAGAGGTAGTTACCCGGAGGAATCTTGACGGCGATGCGTTTGCCCGTGTTGCGGGCCCAGATGTGCAGACCGGGATAGCGCGAGCGGCCGTGGATGGTGAGGAAGTTGAGGTCGGTGTGGAAGCCGGCGAGGATAGTGTCCTTTTGGCCGTACTTGACGAGGTCGGAGGCGGTAGGGGCAAGGAGGTGGGGGCTGTATTTGGGGGGGAAGGGGGCCAGGTATCAGTAACTGTGAAAATGCGAGACCGACTATATGTTGTTTTAGTTGGAAGACGAAAAGAAAACCTACCCGTATTTGCCCGCGTCCTTAAAGCTGCCAGCAGGCAAGCCAAGACCAACGGCAGTCATCTCAGTGAGACCCTCAACAGCGCTCTTCATCGAGGTGCCCCACTGCTGCATGGCCGGGTTCCAGCGCTCCTTGATGTGTGGCGCTTGAGGAACGACATTATCCGCGTTCAAGCCGGGAAACTTGGTCTCGTATGGCGGCTGCTCAGCCATGCGCCAGAAGAAACGGCACTTGGGGTCGGGGTGGTGGCCGGAAATATCCAAGGGCCTCTCCTCGGGCGCAAGGCGCTGGATGACGTTCAGGCATGGCTCATCAACGGCGCACTTGGGCTTCTCGGTGTTCTCCAGAGTCACACCAATCTGGTAGCTCAGCTCGGGGCGTTCATCCTTGCGAAGTTCCTCCTCGGGTTGCGCAAAGTAGTCCTCTAGGAGGTCAAGGAAGGTCTCGTTGTCCTTCTCTGCGACGCGCGAATCGTGGAGCACGAGAGCACCGTAGGTGATGAGAGCCTTCGCGGCCTTTTCGCACTCAGCCTTGACTTCGGGGGAGTCGACGGGGTTGTTGAGGTAGACGTCGAGGTCGATGACCGGAAGGTCCATGGAAATTTCCTGGGGAACAATGCTCATGGTGAAATGCGGGGGTGGGGTCGATTGCCGACACTGCAGATGCGCTGTGATTAAGGGTTCCGAAAAAAAAAAAAAAAAAAAAAAAAAAAGGGTTCGCTTCGAGGGTGCGATGCGCCAAAATCAACAACACGAAAGAGTTTGATATTCAAAAAAGAGAAAGAGACGTCGGTGGTTTGGAGTTATTATCGACAGGTTCACAAAAATATGGTGGTTTTCTAGTTATCAAGGCTTCCCCGATAACATTTTTTTTTTCTTCTGGGCAAAAATACGAAAAGCTTCCTCTCTGGTCGCGGCCATGACATGGAAGCCCAAACAGGAAGGTCCCCCGCATAACCTGGCGATGAAAGTCAAAGGGTGCCTGTAACGTGCCTCGGATCTGGTAATTCTGGGCACATCTGGATGCAACCACCACGCATTGGCAGCAGGCCAAGCCCAAATTCTCCGCCTGACTAGCGAAGGATGAGCCCTGAATCCGGCGATATCCGCCATCATCCGCCCATCTTGAGGTGTCTAGACGCTGGTGGCTGGGAACGTAAGCAAGTGCTCGCTTCGAGATACCTATGAGCTTGAACCGCACCGGCGGGATTGCACTTTAAGTTGCTTGTCATCTGCCCGAGGTGTCGATATACATAATGCCAAAAATGGTTAACAGGATAGGAAAAGGACTGGCGATAATACGCCTATGGAGTTAGTTGTTTTGGGAAAAGACAAGAGGTGATGCTAGACATTAACAAATAGACGCTTCAAATGGAGAGCAGTTACTGTTCAGCGCGTTCTGTCAGAAAGCCAAATGTTATACAGAAGGTTATAGGGCCAACATCCGCCAAATCTCCCAACAAACTACGACAGCTGATCACAGCTGTAAGTCTTCCGTAGTATAGTGGTCAGTATGTGAGCTTGTCAAGCTTGAACATCAGTTCGATTCGCTCGAGACCCGGGTTCAATTCCCGGCGGGAGAGACCAATTCGTCTTTTTGCATCTATCTTTTTCTCCAATGTAATGTGTCTGGAACTTTCAACGATATCGATCTTTTTTTTTTTTAAACATTTTACATTTTTCATTCAACCTTCCTTCCCTATATAGTGTCTAAAAGACATTCATCAAAATGTCCTCAACTCACGCTGTCAAGTAACTCACTGACCTGAGATTTCCCGTGTATATGTTACATAGACAGCACCATCACCCTCCCTTCACTGCTTCTTCCATCCCACATTCATCTTCTCTCCTTCATCCTCTACCACACCACTCCGCCATCACATCAAAACCCCAGGCCAAGCATTCGTATCAGGCGACAATTTATACCAGCACCGATTCCTCCTCTCTCTTTCTCTCTCCTCCTGCCCACCAGACTGCTCTCGTTCTCCTCTTCCTTCTTCTTCAATAACCGCATCTCTGACGATACTACTGTTATTCTCTTGTCCTTGTCCAGAGGAACTACTCGGCGCTGATTGCCCACCGCTAGCACTAGCACTAGCTGCTCCCAACGGAATATTTTCCGACGTCTGACTCTGGTTTTCCAGCGACTTGTTGTCGCTTGCCGAGTTCTCTGGTCGGGTATTTCGTGAGAGAGTGGCTAAGGAGAGGATGCAAGAGGCGATGATGGTGAGGGCGGATTCGGCGGTTGCGTAGTAGATTAGGGGGGCGGTGGTGACTTTGTCAGATGGTGTTAGCAAGTGAGGAAGGAAGTGAGTGAGTGGGAAAGGGTGATGAAAGAATGAGGGAGGGAGGCAGGATACGTACAGGTAAAGTCTGAAGAGGTGAGGCCGGAGATAACGGTTGTTTTCACTATGGCGGTGGTTCCGGAGCTGAAGGTTGGTTAGGAGAAGGAGTTCATGGTGGTTGTTAAGTGGAGGAGAAGGGGGGTACATACACAAGCGCGACAATGATGGCTAGGGAGACGCCGAGTTTTTCTTTCCGGTGTAGCATTTGGAGTTGATAGAATAGTGCTAATGGGAGAAGGGCTAGAATGAAGTCTACGGCTGCCGAGTATCCTGCAGAACCACATCAGTACAAAAGCTAGGCGGTCAACTAGGATGTAGTAGAACATACCAGCAGCAAACATCGCATACTGGGGATAGACCTGGTTATCCCAGCATGTCCCTTCCATATAGGTATCCCACGTCTTCGCGGCCGGTGAGCATCTAATCCACATAAAGAGGGCGTTGACGATCAGAAAAACGTGGATGGTGGCCACGCCGAGCCAGAGGAGGTCCTTGGTCCATCTGCCCGACAGCAACCGGAGTAGCGTGAGGGCGAAGGAGGTCTTGCTCCATACCGAGGCGAGTATGGAGAGGGTGCCGATGAAGTTGCCGAGTAGACCGATAGCGGGGAGGTTATCTTCGGGGATAGCCTGAACGTGTTCACCGAGGCCTTTGGAGGTGGCTATGGTGACAATGAAGATGGAGGTTTTGAGGACGAACTGTTTACGTGTTAGTATGGTTGACGATCTCTGGAAATGAGGGTGCACTTGCCCATGAGACAGAACAAATGTGGTCATCCCACCATAGTTTCTTCTTGGAGCGTAGTTTCCACACTATTCTGACAACAAGGGATACCGCTGCTAAGCCGGTGAGTGTCCAAGTCACGGCGAGGATCTCGGATCCTCGATTTTCAGATTCCATCTCAACGATAGTGATGATGATAGTAGGAAGAGAAGAGAAAAACAATCGTCCATGGGTGGGTCGAGGGTTGAGGACTGTGCCAGATTGAGACCTACCAGGGGGCGTTCTGGGTTCAACAAGCTGTCAAGAGTGTCTTATAGAAAGAAGAAATTCCTTGGGCGAGCTTGCGATACACAACATATGCGCTCTGTTCGGGCCCATAGTGCGTGAGCCAGAGGTCACACATAGTGACCGTCGACCCCGAAGAGGGAGAGATCGAGGAGAGGTAGGAAGCCCTACTTGGGACACATACTGCTGGCTCCCTTTTTGGTGCTTCATTCTCGCCTCGGAGTCGAACTCTTGAGACCACCGCCACCACCGGGGCCGAGAGCATCCTCAACGGGTCAAAACAGCATTTCCCGTGTCCGAGGTTGTACTTGGTTTGCTGGCGGGCGGTCACGGCTGGTGGTGTCACGATGGGTCCTCGAGTGACCAGTCCTTTGGTTCGTTTTTGGTGTTTACGGACGCTTGCGCGGCGATCAGACCCCTATTGTTGTCATTTGGGGCGACACATCAGCCGGCTTGATCATACACCTTCCCTTTCCTGTAACACCCATGTGTTATGGTTTCCTCAAGATTGCTGTCGGTATGGGACTGGACTGAACTGAGCTCAGGCACCACCATAGCCGTTGTGGTTCAGCTCCCCATGGTTCATGAGTGATTCGAGTTTCATTGCATATGCCGCTTGATCATGATTGCTGGTCCCAACAGCGGGATCGCCAGGTACAAACTATATGCCGAACCCATCACGTCGAGACGGGACAGTGTGGGCTGTACCCAATATCACGGGTGATCCCTCTCTTCTTCTGCAGGACTGGTAGAGCTGTGTATGCTTCTCACCAAGACGTCAATGTCAACCGCATTATAATATTGCTTTGTCTCCTGGAAATTGAGGAGAAAGGGATTAATCCCTGCTTGCAAGTCAGTCGTCCATTGGGAACCGTGAGGTATAAGATGCCATGTTAAGATGTCAACAGGGGCATTGTGAATACCAAGAACGGTTCACTACCACCTCATAACCTGCTTTCCGCGCTTCTTAATGAAATGCCAAATCCAAGGCTGAAAGCGAAGAATCATAATGTGAAATGACTGATGACCAGCGAGATATCGGAGAAACGTTGAGGGCTCAATTGCACGCGACTTGTGTTGTCCTTTTTTTCGAGTTCATCGAGCCGTCGACAGATGTAAGGAAAGAGCAAGAAGACATGGCGCCTGCAATGCCGACAAGAAGGAGCATTTCCTGGCTCGTTGTGTTAGCGCTATGCGTGGCCCAAGCTCTCGCTGCGCAGTGTTCAAATGACAGCCGTCTTAGCGGTATGTTTGCCCTGTCGCCAGCTGCTAGCGGATGCTTGTTGACGTAACCGTCTTGTTCCATGTCCTATCTTATCGCCATGTTTCCAACTTGAACTCCCATCGTTTTGCTTGAACACTTTGATCACTGACAAATTGTTTGTTGTACAGCCATACGAAATGCGCCAACTGGCAGAAACGTCACGGCGGACTGTCTGTCTTTCCTTGCGCAAACTGCTCCCACAGGAACATCCAGCAGGAGAACGACCACGACGACGGTGGCCAGCACAAAGAGGGTTGCGACTCTTACACTACATCGCTCTGCGACCATTACCACAAGGACAGAGCCAACGAATTCGACCGCCTCCGAGACCGAAGATAATGGAAATCATAAGTTGACCGAAGTTGATCACGATGCCCTCAAGGTGGAAAGGCCGGGCTTCTTACCCGCACAGGCTCTCCAGGAGCGGCGGGTGACTACGAGCCCAACTTCGGCGACACTACCTCACTATGCGAAGAATTGCGCCTCGGAAGCCGATTATTCCTCGGCATGCTCTTGCTTGGGACTCTCTCAAACCACTAGGGCTGCTGCTCGGCCAGTCACTACGACAACAGTTACTGTCTTCGAGACGGTTGCGAACGTTACCCTGCCGCCTTTTTTCGCCAATAGCACGATTCCAGGAAGGCAAATTGGGACAGGGACAGGAACAGCTATGAGCACAGTTTACGCGGGAAGGAAGAATGGAAGTGGCAATTCTTTACGTCCAACGACTTTGTTCACGAGCCGAGTGACTTCTTCCATAGAAGCAAGCAGTGATCCGGGGTCGACAAGCGTTATCAGCTCGTCAGCACCTTCGGCCACCAAATCGACCGTGCATGTGGTGACAATTGCAATACCTACGACAACCAAGGAGCTGTTATGGTTGAACACAACGTCGACCCACAGTTATTCAGCTGGAGAAGCTACGGCAGCTCCTTACACCAACTCTACGGCAGCTCTAGCAACAGCACCTGCGAACATCACGACTTTCTCCACTCAGCTCAATATTCCAAAGAGTGCCAAGTACCCAGTTCTCTTGAACAGCACAGCGTCCTGGCATAACGGGACATCTACCAGCTCATTACTGGCAAATACTAGTACTGGGGTGGTCAGGACAACCGCGAGTGTCAAGTTTTCAGTGTTCAAAAACACTACTGGTAGAGCCTCATGGTACAATAGCACATCGATAAGCTTTCTACCTCTAGATCCCGGAACGGTTGTCCTCCTAACAACCGGAACAAAAGTCACACTCACAACCAATCCAATCACATCCCCAACGACAACAACAACAACCATCGCCCGCCTCCCCTTCCTCATAAACACCACATCCCTCTGGTCCAACAGAACCGCAACCACGATTTCCACAGTCCAAGGCACCGGCACCGGCACCGGCACAGGAATATTGATTACTAACACCGGCTATCACAACACCTCAACCTCTACTCCCACTTCCACTTCAACCACTACACCATCACCCAAACCAACAGCCACGAAAGACCTAACCTGCAGCGAAACCTCCACCCCCTTCTCGCTTCGCGTTTCCCAACCCGGCGGTACTTTCGATAAGTGGTTTGTTCACGTCGTTGGAAACGAGTTGCTCTTCACTATCAGTCAATTTCAAGCAAGCTCATTTAGTGTAGAGAAGACTGGACATTTATGTGCGGTGGGGTATACCGATGGGAATGCTAGGCCGAGGATTGCTGCTGTTGCTGGTGCTGTTGCTGATGCTGGTGCTGGTGCTGCCTCCGGAAACGGAACTGGGAGTGGTGATGGTGCTGGTGATGGGGGTGGTAGAAAGGGAGTAGGGGGTGAGGGACCGGTGTGGATGTTGAGGCAGGAAACATTGAAAGTATATTCGGAGGATTACAAAGCTTTGGAGTGTACGAAGGGGGATGGGGGGTTGAGTTGTGGTGTTGGTAATTCTACGAATGATGAGGTTGGGTCGGGGTGGGTTGGGTGTGGGTTGCAGTTGAGTTTGGGGAGCGATATAGATGTTGGGTATGGGGGGTTGAATTGCTCGGCTGTTTCTTTGGAGGTTGTTGAGTCTTGATTGAGGCAGGTATGATTGACTGAATATGTTAATGCCTATCTAGATGAACGCTGAACATAAAACTTCTGGCGCCTCTGTTTCCCTTTTTTGTTGTGAACAAGGATGCCATGGAGGTTGCGGCGTATGAATCATTCAGTCCGTTGCCACCATCAATCCTATCTCAATTTGGGAGAACTACCATAACATAATTCAGGATGACCAATAAATCCAGCCGGAGGCTAAAAGAAACAAAAGCCCAAAATTAGCAGCAGCCGCCCTAAAGTATGAAAGTCCTGGTCGATGTCTTTGGTAAACGAAAAAGAGAAAAGTGAGCACTCTGCGGACGATGTGTGCGTCTGATTGATCCATCAATGTCGAGTGTTCTTGGCATTGAGTTGAGTCGAGTTGAATTTAGTAACTATGCACTGCGTACATATTCATAGTAAAGAATCTCCCAACCTGTTAGAGCACATTCTTACCTAAACTATCGACTTCATGAATTCGTGATTTATCACACCACGACAGACGTACAGTACAAAGATATCGCTGTAGCCTACAAGTAACATGTAGTATCACAATCAGAACCGTAAACCTAAGGAACACAAAACATTCAGCAATGTTGCAAGATGGCATTGTCTACTAGTTTCAAGGGTAAGTGAGATAGGTGAGAGAAACCCTCAGAAGTGCGGCGTGCCTATGTGTATTTGCAGAGAGTACGGTAGGTAGGTACATATCCAGTGCCAGTAGAGGATGTATCTACACCGATCCCAACCCATCCCTTAGACCCCCACTCTCTCTCACCACCTCTTTCCTCTCCCTTTCCCTCTTTGGTCCGCTCACTTCATATTAGCCAACAAATACTTGACTCCCGCCCACGCCTCCACGCCACTCGGCAGAATCTGCGAAGCAGGCAAGATGAATCCATTGGCGCCGGTATCTCGCAATTCCAAAGTAAACGCGTACTCGGCGCCGCTGACATCAAACGCGTAGTCGACCGAGTTGCCCGTGGCTTTGTAGACGGTGGTGCAGATGGGTCCGTAGTTGAAGGTGGTGCCGTAGACGGACTTGATGGCGGCCACGGCGCCGCGGGCGAGGGATTGGTACTCTGCGTTTTTGGCGGGGACGGAGGAGCAGGTGTAGCCGTAGGCTGTTGTACATTGTATTAGTATTAGTGAACCAAAAAAAAAAAAAAAAAAAATTCAGAAAAAGAAAGGAGGAGGGCGGGAAAGAGGAAAGGACAGGGAAACATACGAGACATGAAAAGCTGCGAGTACGAGTGCCAGTCAATAAACAGCTTCAGACCTTGCGCGGCCTTGACCTTGTCCAAGAACGCAGCGAGCGCCGTCGTCTCGGGCGCGTCACCCTGCTGGGCGCCCTTGTAGGCCTCGTCGCACGGGTTGGTGGAGGCACCGCCGGACGTGGACCAGTGGGCGGGCCAGTTACGGTTGATGTCGCGGCCGACGCACGAGGAGCCCGAGTTAGACTGGCGGTTCTTGCGCCAGAGACGGTTGCTGGTCTGGGTGTAGATGAAGCCGTCCGGGTTGACGACGGGGAAGATGTAGAACTCGTACTTGTCGACGAAGGACTTGACGGTGGCGTCGGAGCCGTAGTTGGTCAGGAGGTAATAGGCTTGGTACTCGGCGACCTGGAGAATTCGTCAGTTGATTTTCTTTTGTGAAGAAATCACTGGAAACATCTGACATACCATGGTGGTGATCCACTCGCGCGCATGCACGGTGCCGTGGAACACAATGGCGGGCTTGACGCCCTTGCCGGCGCTACCCCAGAAACGGATACCAGTGATGGCGTTGCCGTTGACCGAAGTGCCAGAGGTGACGATCTCGGACTGGTTGGGGTGGGCAGCCACGAGATCCCTGAGGAAGGTCAAGTGGTCGGCATAGGCGTGGTACGTGTTGAACCAGGTCTGGTCAGCCGTGCCGGCGTAGGCCTGGAAGCCAGACTCGTTGGCGATGGAGACGCCGAGATCTTCGTGCATGGTGAGGGTCTCGAAGCCCTCGGCCTGGGCGTTGAAGGCGGCGAGCTTGGAGGGCGGGACGACCACGTCGGCGTGACCGCCAACCTTGGCCACACCCTTCCAGGTCTCGAGCTCGAGGTCGGCGATGATCTTGTTGAGCTTGTCGGCGTCATCACCGGCGGCGACACGGAGAACCTTGTAGCCATCGTACGCAGTCCGCTTGGGCCGGGCTTCGGAGCGGATGGCGGTGGCGGAGGCAAGGCCCAGGAGGGCGGTGAGGATGGAAAGATACTTCATGGTGGTGGTGGTGGGCTTCGAGATGCTATTTTCCCCGTCACTGCCTTCTCCCTCAGAATCATGATGGCGGCCGATGGGTCATGGGCCATCTTATACTAGTTGCCCGTTGTGCGTGTAAAGCTGGGGTACCGGTCGGTGGAAGGTCTGGATCAGCATCAGCATCGTGAGGTTGAGCTACCTAGGTAGAGTAGGTGACATAGTGGATATTTGGGGTAGGTAGTAGTCGATATCGAGGTCAAGCTCGAAGGGGAAGGTGTTTTGATGGGCCAAGTAACCGGCCTCTATCCATGTTCGGCATCTGGATAGACGTATTTTCGAAGGGTGATTTGCATGAGAACTCGGTAGCGGTTCCGTATCGCGGTTCGTCTCATACTGCCAGGCCGGGAGACAACCAGTGTTCGTTTGTCAGTTGTCCCTCGGATACTCCTTGATAATTTCAAGCTTCGGTGAGCAGTGTCTGGCACCCGTCAACCGGGAAGGGCAAGTCGGGGACGATTCCTTGGATTGGTACCTTCCGATCGGCACGTTGGTTGCATCAGGTCCCTCCGTTCTGCATCGCGGCATAACCTAATCCGGAAGGTTGTTGATCCCATTAATGCTCTTGGCCAACTGCATTATACGATCTCATGTTTTCTTTCTTAGTGTTGGCTAACAGCCCAAGGTCAAGCGGCAGTGAAAAATCACAGACAAAGTTGGATTGACGTTGTATTGCTTGGCAAGATCGAGAAGGTTGCAACGAGCATCGCATGAGTCTATCGACAGTTCGACAAAACCGCGGCAGGGGTCACGGTCGGCCCCAGGAAACTGCACAGAGCTCTCATGGG